AAAGGCTGTAATTATTATTAACTTTTATTTCTTACATTTTCACCACCAACGGATTCCAATGGGAAGCTCCGTTTTGTTCCCAATCCGAATTCAGATCACGTTTTATCTTTTAAATGAATAACAAAACGCTGGCCATTAACTTGCTTCAACGACTTCATTTTAAGAAAGCCGAATTGAAAGCGAGTGGATTGCCTGCCCAATTCCCTTTGATTGGCAGTCGTTTCTGCCAAACGTTTGCCGTTGCACTAAAATCGAATGTGTCTGACTCTTTTTAACGTCTCTGTTTCAGGTAAGTACCGCGCTCGCCGCATAAGTAGCACTTTGGAAGGATCGTCGTTGAGCGAATCAAACTGCAGTGAGTAAAATTACGCGCTCTCGATCTCGGCGCAGTGAGAAAATTTATCGATTCGCTTCATTTTATAGGCCGGGCAAATCAATCGGGAGAGCGTGTGCTTATTTTGGTCCGGTCGAATTTGTCTCGGGTCTACCTGCTCGAATTATTGGGCCTCTCCTCTTTTTATTACGACGCACTCGGCCGAGCGAGAGCTAGAGATCGGCCTAGAGACACTAAATGTCAATCACGGAGCCAAATAAATTCGCGTCCGGCCCGATTGTCAGGCCTCCCCCGACGCGTGCGACACAAATCGCGCGTGTGTCATCCCCCAGCACGTCTCTGAATTCGACCTCCGACCATAATTTTCCACGCCAGCTTTTTTGTCAGATTTTAACAAGGGCAGCTCAAAAACCGTTAATCCAAAAGGAACTCAAAGTTTTGCAATTCAGATGTTGGATTCCATTTTAAAAGCATTTTTCAGAATAAAAAAAATTTATTTATATAATATAATTATATTAGTTAATTTTTGAGTACTTCTTTGCGTATAAAAATAAAATTAAAGCAAGAAAGAATTTATAGCTCATGATTTTTGTTGCAAAAGAAAAATCATTTCATATATGGCAATAAATGTGTCATTAATGGGAAAACATAAAATACGGTAAAATACCATAGATAAAAAATAAATTTGATAAATAAATTTTTATTAAAATTTTACCTTCATATCGCATAACTACTGGAAGTATTTGAATGAGCTTTTTTTAAACAATTTTAACGCTGAATTGATGTGTTCCCTGCACGATTTAATGAATTTTTAAGTGAAATAAATATTCTTTAAAAAAGGGATGAAAAAATTCAAAAATAAAAAGGAGGAATTATTAGACTTTATTTTTATAATTTCTTTAACATTTTATGTGATATTTCAGCAACAAAGTAATTATTATTATTTTTTTAATTTTAATTTAAGAAGGATTTTAATTCATTTAAATAATAGTATGCTAGTAATTTTATTTTCAAATTTTTTGAAATTTTAAAAAGAAAAAAATATTACAAAAATTTCAAAACTGAGCGCAAGAATTTCCCATTTATTGACACATAATCAAAATGATTTTTTCTACAATAAAATGTATTGAATGATTTACTCCATTTAATTTGTGTTGTTGATTTGCGAACTTCATACATTTTATGTCTGTGCAGCAACATTTTTTCAATATAACTAAACGCCTAGTCAGCCAATTCATGCAAATCAATTGTGATTAATTTTTTCCTCGAAATCTATAAATACTCATCTTTGCCAAGCATCCAAATCCATCTTTTATAATTTTCGAACTGTAGCAATGAGCTCAACTGAGATTTACACCGAAGAGAGTGCGAATTGTGAAATCTGAGGCGTGAAAGAAAAATTCCGGCAGAAGTAATTTCGTCTCGAGCGAATTCCTCTCGTTGCCGCCCCTTGACAACAAGGAAAATAGCAACGACTTTTATCCTCTCTCTCGTTTTTTTCTCCTCGTCGGAAATAAAGAGAGGAAAGACAAGACTCTCTCTCACTCTAGCTTTCTCTGCCTGCACGCGATTGCACACAAATCCGTCGATTGGTTTTTTTTTTACCATCCACCCCGTTTTAATGGAGACGACGCGAATAGGAAGACCGAGACGCGATTGATTTTCGCGCAGCGGCTTCTCGCCGAGGACAATTAGCACTAATGGAATTTGCATCTGTATCGGGGGCTGACCCCTGTTGGTGCTAATTCGCCGGCGATCTTGTCACGCGTGTGCATTAACAACGACGTGACTCGCATTTCCGACGAGCTGCCCATCAAAGGGAATTAATTTGTCCGGTCCCCTGGGCCCTCCTCTGAGGATAGACCGACCTGCCGGATGATAATTACTTCGAGTGGCTTCTCTGCAGATGCTCTTAATGGACTCGGAAAAGCTGCTCGGAAATTTCAATTTGCCGTCAATTGTGCAACGCCAAGCAATCGACCCCCTGTCACGCCAGTTCCCTAATTTTTGAGGACAGGGGAACGTTTCTTATTATTAACGGAAAAGGGCAGGCACATCACAGTCCAAGGAAAGTTGAAAAAATAAATGCTGTCGCCGTTCAAGTTAAAAAACTGGTCGCTTTTCCATGAGATTTTGTTCATCAATTTTATATACTCTTGAAATTGTATGTATTTAATTTATTAGAAAATTTTTGCTATTTTTTTTAAGTTGCATAAATACATTTTTTTTTTAATTTTGTTGAACATTGACACGGTTTTTCCTTGAAGGGTGTTTTGAGTCGTTTATTAATTACCGTTTCTATTTACTCTCCATTCAATAATGTCAATCAATAATTGAAATTATTTCGACAAGAATTCGTATATACACAAATAATTTTCTACAATTTTTAAAAAATTAAAAGCATTGGAGTAAAATAAATTATGTTGTGCAGGATAATATTTTTCTATAAAACAATAAAGGAAGCAAAAAAATCCGTCGAAGAAAGGCTGATTTGAAATCAAAAACAAATTAATTCCCATTTTTAATGTCAAAATCCCGTGCGAAAATTGTTGGTTCAAGACGCAGTTATTTTATAAAATAACTTCGTCTTGAACCAACAATTTTCTTTTAGATTTCAAGTTATAACTTTTATTCTGATGTAATCACATTGTTTATAACAATTATAATATTCCTTAGCATAAAAATTATATTTGATTGTACTTCATTGTGTGGTGTTTTGTCTCATACAGCGTGCGTCTTATGGTTAGTAATTGTTAATTGCAGCTTTTTTTGTGCCGAATGATTTTTTTTTAAACGTGAAAATAATTTTCAGATTCGCATTAAAAAGTGCCAAAAATGACCTGGGTTTAGCGTGAAAATTCCCTAAAGGCCGGAAATCGTGCGGTCAGTGCAAGTGCTGGCTAAAAATGGCACCGTTGGGCGGGTTTCTGCGCACGGCGCGCAATCGATGCATTATTAAAATTTACACCGACACTCTCGGCGTGCCAAATGGGGTTTTAAAGAGGAACATGCACCCGCTATTGTAAAATTCCATTAGGAATTTTTATTAATTTGTGCGAAAGAAACCAACTTCGTGAATTATGGCAAAATGCAAATGCCTCGCACAGCTATTAAGCCGCACTGCACTGGATGCACTCCCTCAGTTGTCAGTGGCATTTCCATCCTGCTGATGGTGTATAATAACACGTACTTTTCGGATACGATCGAATGCACCGGAGAGACGGATTAGCATTCCAAAGTGCTGCGAAATGCACTTTGCATCGCTATTCATTCTTTACTTTTTTATTTATTCTCTCATATAATACCGCGTCGACCTACTTGCAGCAACACAAAGCCGCATTACGGCCAAAGACGACTGACTCACTGCCTGTCCAATGCACCAGGGAATTCATTAAAAAGCAATTTTTGGCCAATTCCCTCGTTATTAACAATTTTTTTTATAGTTTCCAGGAAAATTACGCGTTTTTGCCTCAACGGCATATCAAAGGGTAGCAATTTCAATGTAAATTAGCAGAGCAATTTGCGTTTTTTTCTTATTTGGTTCTCCTATTCAATATCATTTTAATAATCAATGGAAATGAAATGTTTCCTGGTTACATTAGATTAGATTAGATCAAACTTTATTGCATTAGACATATATAGAAGATCTCCAATTTGCCTTTACAACAGGTCATTATGATAAGTAAAGCAGATTTTTAGATTATGTCATTAAAAATGTAAATTTCAACATTCTAAACCTATATTTTTTTTTAGTAATCTTCTACAATAGAACATTTTGGAAAAATAAAAAAATTAAAAAAATAAATTATATGGCGCTTATTTAGTCAACTTAGTGCATTTTTACACAGTATAAATTTACTCGCAATTCTTATTTTAAATCAAAGTTCATAGATATTTAAAGCAACAAAAACTAAACGAAGACTCAACATGTAAAAGAATTACACAATTGAGGGTTAAATCGTGTTTTTTTTTTTAATTTAAAATCGGCTTTTCCTCGGTGGGTTTTGTAAATTTTTTAATAAGAAAAACAATACCCTGCTCTACATTTTTTGGCTGCAGCCATAATTCACGAGCTGTGAAAAAGAATCAAATTTTCAAAACAGTTTTCTTTCAAATTAACAATATTTCTTGGAAACTTATTTTTTAAACTACAAATTTACACAGAACAATTTTCTAATACAAATTTGACAATTTAATTTAAAAAAAGTTTAAATTCAATTGTCAAATTGTGTTGAAAATTGTTTTGGGTAAATTGCTAAAAAATTTAAAGATAGAATTTTGTACTAAATTTTGTCAAAAATTATTTCACAGCTCATGAATTATGGCTGCAGCCGAAATATGCAGAGCAGGATATTGTTTTTCTTAAAAAATAAATAACTCACAAAATCAAGGAAAAGTCGACTTTGAATTCGAATTACCAAGACTAATTTAATTATTCCCCGTTTCAAGTGGTTTCTTTGGGTTTTGAATTCTCAGAAGACTAAAGATGATTTAAGATTGGGCTGAACCATAAAAATAATTTCCAAAATTCCTCTTTGTGATTTTTTTATAAAAACCAAAGAGATTTAAACAAAATAAATTGCAAATTTAAATATTTACGCTAAACAATTTAAAAATTATCAATAGAGTTTGCAATTTTTGCAATAATTCTGCATTGTTCACTTACATTTGGTTGCCAGATTGGACTTGAGCCGCGGGGTCAAGCTGAATCTACTGCACTACTTGCGATCGAAGCGTTTGCTCCAAACAGGTTGAGAATAATTCGGAGGCAGCAATAGAGTGCGGTGGCGGCGAAGTGGGTCGATGGCGCTATTTATTGGCCGAAACAGTGTGCATAAGCATTATTGCGAGCGAGATAACCAAGAGCGAGTCAGCAGCGCCTATAAAGTCTCAGAGTATGACAATTGCCAGCAGAGCAAAGGCAATTACATTTCAGCGGCGGCGGCCTCTCGAGGCTAATTGTATTTGCACTGAGGCATCAGGTATATTATGTCCACACACTCACCCTTTTCTGCTGCCATCCCGGCCGCTGCTCTCCAATGTAATTGGAACTTCTGAAAAGCCGGGCCGCGCGCAGCTATGGAAGCACAATTTTATATCAAAAATCCTCATGCTCAGGAAACGAGATTCACGTTGGTCGAGACTGGCATTTGCAAAGAAAATGTAGCTTTAAAACATCACAATTTTGGGCTCCTTGTTGGTTGGAATTTTTTTAATGCAGTAAAAAGTACTTATTTAATGTCTATTCCGATAAATTAAATTAAAAAAAGGTTTGAATTTTGAAAGAGGAATCTCTTAAAAATTTAAATACTTCGAGCGTTTCCGAGTGAATTTGAAGGGCGATTGGACGATTTTGGACTAGGCAGAACCTGTGTATGATTTTTATACATGCTTGAGAGGGTGCCCAGGGGTGTCCACACACAAATTTTCAGACCTCTAAAAAGGGGCGTTACCCAAAATTTCGGGACTTGAAAAATGGGCAAAAATTATTTTGGATTTGCTATAACTTTGGAACGGATAAAGTTATATTGACGTTCTCAACTGTTTCTGACGTAACGTTTTACGCTGAACAACTTTGCTGTTGACACCAAAGTTGTATTGTTAAGGGAAATGTCACTTTCAGGTGACCTCTGACCAAAATGTCAAATTTTGACAGGGAACGCCCCCTTCGATTTTTTTCCAGGTATAGGAAAAAATGTAGCCTATGAAATTTTACATCACATATGTCAAAATTAGAACAAGGTTATTTTTTGTTTTCGAGTAATTAATCGTTGAATAAGAAAAAACGCGTCCGAGGAGGGTCGAAAATTTTGAGGTTATTTCAAAAATCGAAGTTGAATCGATATGTTGCTTTTGCCTTACTTGAATATTTATGATACAATGGAACATTGCTGACTTGATTTAGTTATGTTTCTGTTAATTCTTTAATTTACCTCTAAATTTTCGACCCTCTTCGGACGCGTTTTTTCTTATTCAACGATTAATTACTCGAAAACAAAAAATAACCTTGTTCTAATTTTGACATATGTGATGTAAAATTTCATGGGCTACATTTTTTCCTATACCTGGAAAAAAATCGAAGGGGGCGTTCCCTGTCAAAATTTGACATTTTGGTCAGAGGTCACCTGAAAGTGACATTTCCCTTAACAATACAACTTTGGTGTCAACAGCAAAGTTGTTCAGCGTAAAAAGTTACGTCAGGAACAGTTGAGAACGTCAATATAACTTTATCCGTTCCAAAGTTATAGCAAATCCAAAATAATTTTTGCCCATTTTTCAAGTCCCGAAATTTTGGGTAACGCCCCTTTTTAGAGGTCTGAAAATTTGTGTGTGGACACCCCTTGGCACCCTCTCAAACATGCATAAAAATCATACACAGGTTCTGTCTAGTCCAAAATCGTCCAATCGCCCTTCAAATTCACTCGGAAACGCTCCTTCTATTTTTGAAATAGATTAAATGGACTTAAATATGAAAAAACTTTTCATTTATAGTGATGGTGGCATTTTGTTCTAAAATTATTTTTCTTCCTTTTTGAAATCAATTGTTTTCAATTATCAACAATTGAATGGAAACAATGGCAAAACTGGACAAATTAAATAAAACAAAATATATATTTTTCTTATTGTAAGAACTTTTTGTCAGCTTGAAAAAAGGTTAAAACCTTTTTTCAAAATAATTTTTTCAAAGAGTTTATCAATTCAATGTTCATCATCTTGAGAAGTTTTTTGCCACACTGGAGACTGACTATTGAGAAAGTGATACAAAAATTTGCACGAGTTCTTCCATATCCATTTGACGCGTTGAAAAAGCTCTCTTTTTGCGCGGCAGGAAGGAAATTATTGATTGCGTTCGGCGGCTGGATAAGCAAATGACTCGCCGGCAACCAGTTTCACATTCCATTAGCGGCGGAAAAATCTCTCTCTGCTCTCAGCCAAGGGAGGGAAATAATTTTTGGTGCGCGCACGGCGGCGGCCAGATTAGGAGCAACTGATTTGGCTTTTATTTGCGCTGCAGAAATTCGCTCTCGCAGCCAAAACTCTACAGGTGATCTTTTTTTTTCAATTTTACATCGGCTATTGCCTTTCCAATCGCATAAAAATTTACACGAAAGAGCTAGTTGGCGAGATGTACCAGCGATGATTTATAAACGGCAGCACCGGCTTGGCTAAATTCTAAATTGAAACAGACCGCTTTGAATGCGACGACCATCCACTCGCGAGCACCCACGGGAATTTCATTAAAAAAGCACCGATACTTTTTGGGATATTATTTTTAAAAAGCAGTGATTAGATAATGCATGAAATCACTGCCAAAAAATTATCAAAGGCTTTAAAAATTAATTTTATTACAATTTTATGATTGAAAAATTATATTTTGCTTTTTATTTTTTAAATTAAAATTTTTTGTCGATAAATTATTATTTTCCCTGTAATTCAAAAGGCGTAGTCCTGAATTTTGACTAATTAAATTAATCTGATAAGAGGGTGGAGCGTCCCTGCCCGAATTAAATTACAATACACGGCCGCATAATTAAGCCTGGGTTGGCTCGCTCGCCCTCGTCGCCCGGCGATTGCGAATTTATGCAAAAACACGCTGCTCGCGCGCGTTTGCGTTTGCATATAATTTCACCCGCGCGGCCTTTGTGTTTGGAATTCCCAAAAACTCGCGCTGCAAAGATGGAACAACATCAACAAAAGAGCCTGAAAATAAAAAGCGACTTTAATTAAAATATTTCATTTATGCTTTTGCGCTCTGCGGGCCCCGAATTCGTAAGTGGCGGCTTTTTTATCTCCTCTCACATTTTTCTGCAAAAGGCCGATTATGCCCTCGAAAATTTGAGCGCCGGCGAATTCGTTATTTGCGTACCTGGCCCTCTCTCCACAGCGGCACTTCAAAGGCTCTGCTCATTACCAGTGAGCGCCAGCCCCAATTTTTAACTGCTCTCGCACAAACAAATAACGCCGAACAACTTCTTTTCTTGGCAAAATAAATTCTTTGTTTATTCTCCATTATTGGCAAACATTAAATCGCAAAAGCTAGAGGGCGGAAATCTTACATGGAGTTATTATTTTGTGAAAAAATACTGAAATGGAAATAATTAATAAGGAGAATAGAAATTACATTTTTAGAAAATAATAATTTTACTCAAATTGGCCTCATTTTCAATGCAAGACGTAAATTTATTTATTTATTTATTTATTCCTCATTATATCAAATAATTTTTTTTATTGAAATACAATTAAATTTAACATATCTTTAATGTATTTAAAATTAAAGATGTAGCAAACTCTTTAAAAATCATGAAATCTCTAATTATGCCAAACAAAGGCAAGTTGGTTTATCTAGTGTGAATTTGAAAGAACATCTAATTTGGTTCGAACAAGATGCAAATTGGCTTGGACCGCGCCAATTGGCATAATTATTCAGGTTGCTTGTAATTAACTGGGGTTAGTCGGTCAGCGTGTCCCAGCAGCGCATGCAACATTTACCTGTGGCCGCAATAATTATAGACCGGCGGCGGGCAGGCCTTTGTCAAAACGCGAACTCTTGATTGCACGTTGCTAATTCATGCCCAATTCTGCGTCCGACGCACCGGCTGGACCGCCATGGTATGGGACCCTCTTCTATTATTGATTCTGCAATCTCAGTTACGATCGTAATTTTTAATTATTCACGCTTAACTGTCTGTCTTTGAGTTTGTAACCAGAGGGACAAAGATGATCTGCAGAAATTTGTATTAAAATATTAACTGTTTGAAAGTAATAAAATAGTAATGATTTACAAGTTTCTTTTATGATATTCAGAGTGGCATCCTTCTGATAAGCATAATATATGAACACAATTTAAAAGATTCTAGTTGAAAAAATTAATTGAAATGCTCTTTTAAAAATACGCTCAAATCGCCTATATCCACGTACATTTGGTTTAAAAAAATCATAGGATACCGAAATGGATAAAAAATCATTTTGGTTTTATTTTTATAGTCAATATCAAAGAGATTCCAATAAAAGTAAAAAGGTTGCATATATTTTATTTGCATGTATAATTATAATTATTATATAATTTGTAATTATACACAACTAGTGTACACCTCCCAAGTGTACAATTATGCACATGTTCTGTTTGAAGGTTTTAACAGATATTATTTGCTTCACAATCACAGCTTTTGCAAAAATCCAACAAACCAAAATATATAAAAATTATTAAATACTAAGTAATCTGCTTTATAGGCCCTGTCGGATATTGTTAATGCCTCTTTCCGCGACGGTATCTTTCAAAAATCAATGAAAAAAGCAATTGTGACTCCGCTGTTCAAAAAAGGTGACCGGCTAGATGTAAAGAATTATAATTATCGGCCCATATCCAGTTTACCAACCTTTTCAAAGATACTTGAAAAGTCCATTTTGCTTTGTCTCTTTTCATTTTACGAGGCGAATAATTTACTGCCGGGCTCGCAGCACGGGTTCATTAAGGGCAGGTGCACTGCGACTGCTCTTTTTGAATTTATTGTAAAATTGCACGAGCAGCTGGAGAAAAAGCAAAAAGCGCTTGGAATATTTTACGACCTTTCAATCGCGTTCGGAACAATTTGCGTGCCGCTTCTGCTTCGGAAATTTGAATTTCAGGACGTCCGAGGGGTTGCGTTGGAGTGGCTGCGTTCTGCCTTGACCGGCCGGACGCAGGCGGTCAAATTGCGTGTCATGGATGGGAAGCTGGAGAAGTTTGTGTACTTAGAGGAGCTTTTGCTTGAAAGAGGGACTACTCAGGGTGAAATTATTTCTCCATTTGGTTTTGACTTTTCTATCGGTGACATGCCGCTCCACGTAGCCGTCGGATTGCTTTTGAATTACGCGGACGATTCGTCGTCGCTAGTTTTTTCGCGAACGACTTATGCATTGGTGCGCGAGGCTCAATTGGCGGCTGATTTAATTTCCGATTTCTGTCGTGACAATTTTTTAACTCTGAATCAGTCTAAATTAGTAGTGCTGCATTTCCAACTTTGGCGTGCTATTTTAGATTGTGACAATTTCGCTCTCGCGGGTGTGCGTTAATGGCGCAGCACGGAGCCGCTTTGTTCTGCGCGGCCGCTTTTCGCTCGATTTGATTTTCTTCCAGTATTTTCCATTTATCTGCTTGAATCTTGTAAATTTGTCCGTAAACATCCGCATTACTTTAAAAAAAAAAAAACAAGCGAAGCTCATGATTATCAGACAAGGTCCACGAGTATTATTAAAATCAATTAAAATGTAGTTGAAAAAAATTAAAAATTAATTATTATTGTATCACTTTTATTGCGGATCATGGTGTGATATTACAGATATAATTCCCCGTCGTAATTCACCCATTTACAACTGGGTCAAAAGAGAGAAAGCAATAGAGTTAATGGAATGGAATACTTAGCTTTGAATAATAATTTTCTTTAAGTCACAAGCAGTTTTTTCCTTATTGTTTAATTTGTACGGTGAGAATAAGCAGCACTGGCCGCCGGTTTCAAGCAAAACCTTATATTTTGCCGGAGTGCAATTCAAATGTCAGAAGTAGAAAGTGGTTGCAGCAGGTCTAGGCGGCGTCTAGCATTGTGTTTTCTGGTATGCGCGCACAAAGGCACTGAATCCGGCGTAATTGCAAAACACGGGGCCGCTTTTTGCAGAAAGCGGCGGCTTGAGAAAGAGCCACGGCCCGCTGCTGATGACTTCATGTTCGCTCCGTGCGCGCATTTGTGTTTATGCAAATTGTTTTAATTCAGGCAGTGGTCGGCGCCGTGTTTGTGGTTTGCTCATTATAAAGTGGAGGCCCTTTGAGCCTCGGCACGCAGAGCTGGGCGCTTTTCCTTTCGTTTTGACTCGGCTAGGAGACCCTCGCAGGTATTAGCAGATTTGAAATACAAATTATTCCGGCCGCTCCGAAAAGAACTTTTTGTCGCTCCACCAGATTACTTTAATTTACGACCCACCCTGCTTCTGCGCTGCTCGCAATTTATTTTCCATCTTTGTCCCACCCGGCAGCTTTGTTCCACCTGCTCGAAATGTTGCGAATGTTCCGACACGCATGTTTTTGTAAATTTGCTCGCGAGGCAGGTCGCGCGCAAAGTGGGTTCGAAAATTGCTCTCACTCGCACCTCTCCTCTGCAGCACCTTTTCGCTGCTTTTGCAAAGGCAATGGTTCGGAAGGCGACACGCCATTTCGGCACCAACAGATATTTTTCGCAGCAGCAAAAGAGCTTTTTTTCTATTGAAAATCGATGTCATCTTGCTTTCTCCATCGCTTCCGACCGAGAGTGTGCATAATGAGAAGTGTGTTTTCGCGGGTAATTGACGCCACTTCTCCTCACAAGAAAACTTTGAACAAGAAATTGGAACTTGTTTACTCCTTTTGCTGAATAGTGAATATTAGCAGTGAAATATAATTAATAAGAAATTATTGAATTAAAAATTAATTTGTCCAAAGCATCTTTATTCAGAGTCAGGTATGGTCAGGTACATCATCAGCACTGAGAATTATTATTATTATTTACTTTTTTATTATTTGTCTTCTTTGTCAATACAAAAATTTTAAATTGGGAAAAAGATAAGAAAGGGTTTACAACTAGCAGATGTCTGCTAAACGCCCGACATCAAAAGAGACACGGCAGCCGTGGTAAACCCACACTATGGAGAGAGAAAAAGAACGATATATCACAAACATTTTAAAATCTTCAATCTTGAATTTCTTCCACATTTACTCCTTGCAGCGGGAGGGAAAATTGCTCGAGGGACAGTCTTTGAGGGCAGGTTTCAATTTATGAAACAATTTGCTTAATTTAAATAGTAATTATATTGCTCTCTCTTAATCAAATCACAGTGAAGTAAACGCCGGTATTTAATTACAGAGTTGAAATTTTGAATTTAATCAAAATACTAGTTATTAAATTAATTTGTTGCAATGAAGTTGCAAATAATTTTTTTTTTTAAATCTAACCAAATTTTAAATTGTGAGCTTTCCTTATGTTAAAATTTTATTAGAAAACACATAATTTTAAAGCATAATTTAATATTATTTTGATTTATTCTTGTCGGAATGAGTTTGAATCTTCTGATAGACTCTCATTATCGTCCAAACCCTAACAATCTCGCACCTGTTCATGGCAGCCTTGGTCCGTCTGCACAATTCAGCTGCAATACACGTCAATCAAATTTAACCCCGGCATAAATTTTATGTCACGATCAAGTATCGGATTAACTCAAAATCAACAAGCATATCCTGGGGGCACTCCTGTAATCAAGCCGCTGGCATAATGGGCCGGATTAATGCGCGCGAACCTACACTACTCACGCCTAGCATGAACTGGCTGCGCAAACACTGCACCAGCAGTAGCGGCCGGTTGAGGCAAGGCCTTCTGGGAGCCTTGGCCGTCGTCATCGGACTCATCGGCAAGTCTGCGCGAAATTAATTCGCCGTTGAATATTCATCGGCCACTTCCACACATTATGTTTTGCCCAAATAAATTTCTCACGTATTGCACTTACCCTTGACGCTGAGCCGGCACTCGTTGATCATGTGCTCCATCCGCTGCTGCTCCGTCGAGTTGACGGCCAAGATCAACTTGTCCATCACCTTATCGTAGTCGATCGACTTCCTCTGATAAATCTAAGACAAGATTTGATTATGTGAATGTGAGAGATATAAGGGTATTAACTATTACTAAAAAAAAATAGGATAATAAAAGTAAGAGGATCTCGTGCTACACCTTTAATAATAATTTTGATTTATTTTAATAAATAAATATGGTGATTTGCGAATTTTAACCCATCGAGGAAAAGCCGATTTTAAATTCAAATCACCACGAATCAACTAATGACTAATACAAGAATTGTATTAGTCAGCGAGCAGCGCGTTTGCTCATGAAATAGGGTCGCAGACCGTGACCGAAACTGGTAGAGCCATTTGTTTTTGAATAGAAACAATTTTCTGCAACGAGGAAAAGCCCGATCGCTTCATTTCCAAAAATTTTTCTGAATTAATTCAATTCAGTTTAACGAAGTTTCTTTTGTTCAATTTTAATTTGGGGCTAATTGCGGTTAATTATTCAACTTTAAAGCATAAGACAAGGAGAATTATTTGTTTATATGGAAATTAAAAATATATTAACTAAATATGTTAAATTTCTTTTTTCCCTGCTGTGTATTTCATTTGACAAAATTGTAAATGGGTGGGTCGCACGGGAGATATTACATGTGATTACATTCCATAATGCAATAAAGCTGCAATAATAATAATAATATTTTTGTAAATAAAGAACTCCACTGGCACTCCCAAAATGAAAAAGTTTTAAATGGTAATTCAAATATCTTTTAGGGACAAAGTTTGAACAGCTGATATTTACCAGTTTCTCGTTGCGGAAAATGCACTCGACGAAGCACTGCAAATATTTCGCGATCAGCAAATAGGTCAAAGTACTTGCGAGAGCGGATTATCAAGAGTTGTTGGTCGAGAACGGGGCGCTTTGCTTACCATGGCCGGGCCCAGATTGGTTTCTGTTTAGTCGGAATGCTTATTTACTGTAGTGGAGGTCAAGAAGGAAGGACTCACTGGTGTAGAAGTATTTCATGTTGATGAGATTTTTGTTCACCGACTGGAACTTGTGCAGCACGTACTCGTCGAGGACGCTGTTGAGGCAGGCGTTCTTCTTCGGGTTGCATTTTGCCGCCTCTTCGGCCGCGATAAACGACTCGCGCTGCTTGTTGCAGCACAAAGACAGCTGCTGCTGAAAACGACACTTGCGGCTCATTGCCTTTTTTGATTGATTTATATCTTTTGATCCCCAATAGGACCATTAATATTTCAATCGCAGGCCTAATCCACGAAAGAAATGGAATTTTTGTTTGCTTGATATTTCTCGAACCTGAAAGTTTTCCTGGGCGCACACGGTTGAAACGTCGTAGTCGTTTGCGGTTGCTGCGAAAAGAATAAACATGTGTGCAGAACAAACGAGAATTATATAAGCTCATAGTTGCACTGCGTCTAGAGAAAAATGTATGTACGTATGAACAAAAGTATGTACCAAAAGTTAAGTTGGAACTCGAGTTGCCAACGCTGATCGACTCTGTGAAAGTTCCCTCAAACAACCGCTCGCTCTTCAACCGAAATATTTGCGACGCACTCTATCGCACAATGCAAATGTTTGTCTCGAATTAATTATTCCAGCTTTTATCTCCTTCCAACAACAAAATTCAATTATCGAATAGCAAGATTCAAAGTTTAAAGCAAGTGAATTGCGCTTTAGACCCTATCAAAATGCAATGGAACTCTTGTGTGGAAATTTTTATTTTTAAAAGTTTCAAATTTAGTTAGAAAATCACATACTGGCCTATATTTGAGGAGGAAAATAAAAATTATTGCAATTGGCACAAGCCACCTCGTTTTGCTTAACTGAATCCGAAAATTTTGGACACGGAGCTGGATTCGGTTTGGTGCTGCATCGATTCTAACTAAATTGCGCCGACCGGAATGATTGTGAGAGCGGCCGCTTTTCCACTTCCGTGCGGCGTCATTTCCTGCTACAGAGCTAACTAACAAGAGTTTCACCTGTGCTAGAGAGAAAGACCGCTTTTACAAAGAGGAATTTCACCTTTGAAACGACGCGTGTAGCGGCAAAACGCGCTGCCGCGAAATTCTCGCGGATGGTGGAGGAATTGCGCATTCGCGGGTGTTAAGCGAGCTACTTGATACTGTGTAATGACTCTTTAGCGCTTTATGATTTCGAGCGTAACATATTGAAATTTAAAACTTCAAAGTGAATACGGCACCTTAAAAAATTGAAAGGACTTATTTTGCTGCTCGTATCAAATGCTGGAAGGTGATTTAAAATTCAGTCAAAATTTTGCGTCAAAATATTTTTAGAGTAAATTTGTAACAAAATTTGAAAATGATCTTTTTCCTACAGTTTTTGTTGCAAAATTAATTAATTTCAAGTCTCATGAAATATGGTTGCAGCCCGCAGCAGAAATATTGCACATTTCTTTTTCCTTTAAAAAAAAAATAAACGACTCAATTAAATCAAGATGTTCAAGCCCCAATCATGAAAAAAATTACTTCTGCATTATTTTTAAACCTTCATTCACATAAAAGGGAATTTAGCAATTTAACCAAGAAAGGAATTCGTTGTTCCAAAACGATTGATTATCTAAAAACATGCAAACATTCTTTGAAATATTTTTCTCCAACTGAGATTTTCCCTTTAATTTAGTTCCAACGTCCTGAGTAGGGCAGCAACTGGATTCCAATTAGCCAATTTCATCTCGTCGCCAGCCGGGTTAGCTTGTTGTAAAACCAAAGCGGCGGACGCGACTAGCAGACGGAATCTTCGGAATGGAAAATAACGCCTGCCCGGCTGCTTTTGTAATCTTGCGAATCGACGAGCACTCAGATATTCGCCGGCTGCAGACACAATTTGGGCGAGTGCTCTCGCGCCGAATTCTTTCCTACTTTCTTCTGCGTCCGAGAAGAAGTCTCGAGAGTTGCTCACTGCGAGCATAAGCCGTTCGGAAAGTGGCTCAGGGGCGCTGTTATTGTGTGAGAGAGAGGCCGCGTTTGATTGGATTACCGCTCCTCTCCGCTCTCAGTCACGCGTGCTGCAAACTAATGCCGTAAATAGGGCGCACGCCAACATTATTCCAGATATTTGTGCACGGCTTTGGGCAAAAAAGAAGAAAGCCGGATTTGGTTGGGAACTTTGCTCGGTGTATGCTAATCAGCAAAAAGCGGCAGAGCGGGTGAGCGAGCGAGCGCCGTCGTTTAATTAAATCCGAAGGCTCGGGTGACACGCCTCATTATCGGGCACCAGCACATGTACATATCAAAAGCTGCAGCTTTAATTATTGCTCAAGCTCGACTTTTTCCTCTCCTTTGTTGGATCGAGTGTTCAAAGCGCGCCTTTACCTAAATGAATTTAGTTTGAATAGAGCATCCGGCACGGCACCACTTGGATTGCAAATGAATTAATTTAGCTTTGGTATGTTTTTATTAGATACGAATAAGCAAATTTTGAAAATTTTTTAAGCATTTCCAATGTTCAGATTGGAATATTACATAATTTTAACGTGATTATAGATAAATTTTGGCTTGAAGTTTTCCCCCGCGATTTTTTAATGAATGGTAAAAATTATAGTCTAAGGAATGTTGATCTTCAGATTGGATATTTTTCGTTTTCCCAATTTTAAATTAGAATGATATTTTCCTCAAAATTGTTAAATTTACATTTCTTATACTGTTTAAAAAAAAACTTGCTGATCAAAATCGAACATTAAATTTCCATATCCTAACATTTCTCTTCTGAGAACTCGGAAGTTTTAAAAAAATTATTGCTAGTGGTGGTGCCGCTTTTTCCAACAATTCTTTTTTTTATTTTTAATAAATTGTTTTCAACGAATGTAAATAGTAAACAATGCATTATTTATAAGAATGTGGACAAATAAAACAACAATATCAAAGTAAAATTACTTCAGCCTCCTTAGAAGAAACTAATGTTCACAAATTTTATGACAGAAAAGAGTTTTTCCCGTATATGAATTCAATGTAATATTGTTTTTTTCTCTTCAGTTTTCTTCTTTTGTACTATGTTGCAAATGGGGCGCGTCGCGGTGAGTAATTACATCGTGGCGACGTCTCATAAGTCAATAAAGAACAATAATAAAAAAAAATGTTAGAGCTGAGCTGAGTTGAGCATGCAAAAATAACTTTAAATCATGCCTCTTTTCAAAAAATGGAAAAATTTATTTACATTTTGGTTTCAAATTGACTTTCCTTTGCTTGGAGCGCAGGCAGAGTCGCAGGTGTGGTGCACTCTCTGTTATCCGATTTCCCACGCTCGACATGTGTGTGGTGGAAAAATAATCCATCTGTGCGAGTGGAGAAACGTGGAGCGGCTGCCGATTACGAGCTAGGTGAGCACCAGGTCACTGCCGAGTGCCATTTGCATGCAATAAAACAAACCGCCCAGAGCGAGAAAAAGAGAGAGATGCATCAAAAGAGTGTATGATGGGCGAGCTTATCTGCTTTTCACGAACGGCAATAATCCGCCATGTATTTATGGGCGGGACTTTGATGTATCGATAAGAACGCCGGCGTTCCGAATAAATTGCACAACATTTGTTTCTGTTTTGTTTTTATCTCTGGTGGCGGCGGCGAAATGCATCCGCGCTCATTTTTCATTGTCGCTACCTGCTCTCGCGTCCTGGGAATATTTTTCCCAGCTGCCGCCGCGCGTTATCTCTCTCGCAGATAATTTCTTTTTTTTATATATTTATATTTTACTCTCCTCCCCCGGTGGCATATTAAAAAAACAAGGTAGAAATGACGCAGCCTCCTAAAATGTATGCAACGCCGCCTTACATCGCTGTTAGGCGGGTTGCTGTTGCTCATGTTCTACTTATTATATTATTTTATGAGCGTTGCTATCTCTGGATTTTAAATAAAAATTCCAAAAATTCATTTAATTAAACACACTAGATAAAAAAAAATCAAATTTCAAAATAAGTCAATTTTTTAATAAAATCAATAAAAAAATTTTATTGATCATCAGTTTCAATTGCCATTTTTGTGTTTAGACATATGTTGGCGATCTTTCTCTATTTCCAATGGCATAGTCACCTTAAAAAACACCAAAATTTACTCAGTTTTCAACATATATTATCAGCAGTCTTGTTTAGAACCCCTCATTTATCACATTTATCCGAAATTTTTTTTTCATTTATTGAAAAATAATTGGTCAGAAATTGTTTATCAGAACGCAAGCAAAATTATTCATTTTCCAGAATAAAATTCATCAGAAAACTCTACAAGTAAATATTTAACATCTGAAGAATTAAGTGAAACGAGTGAAACGGTTGAGAAATAAAATAAGGTTTAGTTTGTCCTTAAAAATTAAGTTAAATTCAGTATGATTAATTAATATTTCTATTTACTGAATGATAAGCGAGAAACGAGAAACATTCCATGTGAGACATATGTTGCTTAGCATATTTGCTTATAAAAAATTTATAATTTTACGTCCACTTAAAAACCTTAAAACTATGATTATAAAAAAAAATAATATTAAATTCTGACCTTTCATTTTCTTTACTTTTGAATTTCTGACCGATAAAAAATACTATCTCTGACAATGAGCAATGAATTTTGATAAGAAATGTACACATCATCGCCAAAGATTATTTTCTGACAAGTAAATTTCTGATAAATAAAGGCGATTCGTCTTTTTGCAATTGAAATTCTTTTCACCCTAGTAGATAAATTTTCACACTGTCGACAAACATTATAAGTTCCTGTTGATTGTATTTTTTTTTATAAATTTCATATTTCTAATATTCTTTAAAGAAAATTTGTATGTGATTTTTTCATCAAGAAAGGCATGTAATGTTCCATTTCAGCTTCATAATTCTTGCATTTTTACTAATAAATCAATTAATTCAATATATTTTTGAGTAAAATAACAGCGACAGCAACCCGCCTAACAGCGATGTAAGGCGGCATTGCATACCTCTTAGGAGGTTGCGTCATTTCTACCTTGTTTTTTTAATATGCCCCCCGGTGGGCTGGGAATTTCACAAAACATTCTGGCGGATTAGTCTGGACAGTTAAAATGTGCTTTTTTGCAACATTTCGCGTCTGCTCAGAGATAGCGGAGTAATTTGCCCCGAATAATTGTTTGATAAAATGGAAAAAAAATGTGGAATTGAAATGCTGCAGGAAAGCAGCGACTATTTGAAAGACGCCAACGTCAGAGCTGCTTAGGCTTCCCGCACGAGGCCCGTGCAAAGCATGTTGTTTATTTCCGTCTACCTCTTACCATCAAATAACGCCCACATCTGCTTATAGGGAAAAGCCGTTAGTTTTGCTCTTCAAAGTTTGGTATGAATCGTATGAATGACGCTAAAAATATTTGGTGTTTTAGTGTTTTTTAACAACAGCAAGTGATTCCCATTAACCAGATAAATTGGCCAACCGTTAGTGAGATGGTGACACTAAAACGCCTTGTTCGTGCATTGTCCGGCGAGCGGTATTGGCCTGGTCCGACGCCTGTTTGTTAGGCGAGGCCTCTTTTAAAAAAAATTTGATGTTTTGCCACTGTTTTCCATTTACTTGATAGAGGCTTGTAAATTTGTGCGTAAATACCCTCAGTATTTTGTGAAAACGCGAGATGTGCATGCCTATGAGACGCGCGATAAGTTTGAGTTGTATGTGCAGGTCCAGACGTGTGCTATTTTGAGGCAAAATCCGCTCCTTTGCTTGTCGCGCTTGTATTTACCTGTATCTATTCGATTGGAGTTGAGATTCCCTCAGTTTGTGGGCTTGTTAAAAACGTTTGTTATTTCTCACAAGTTCTATACTGAGGAGGAATATCTAAATTACAAAAATAACTTGTAAATATGTTAATTTCTTTTTTTCCCTGCTGTATATTTCATTTGACAAAATTGTAAATGGGTGGTTCGCATTATAT